AGCCTTTTAATCAAAGTTGAATAGTGTCCCCGTGTATATTACTGTGGCACATTTAATTATTTTTTTCTTGTCTATTTTAATATTTGCTGGGTATAAAGTAAACAATTTGTCACAATTACTTATTTCTTGTTATTAAATATTTACTTGCATTTAGGTATATTTATATGCAAATACATTTTGATTGCACTTACTTGAAACTTCCGCTTAAAGACTTCCGCATCCTTCAGTTCGTCGGCACTGAATTGATTATTTCGATGTAGGACACCAATTTTGATAACAATTTTTATTATATTTTTTATCAGCTTCTCCGCTTTAACTTTGTTGCCCGTCTGCATTGAAGTAGATATAATATGTAAATGTAAATACAATTATACAATTGAAAGTTGGCGTAAGAAAAGAGGCAGCTTTTAAGGAAGTACGAGTATACATATATTATAAAGATAGTACTTAATATGGGAAGTTCTCACAAATTGTGATTATTAAATTTTATTTATTCTATACATGTGTATGTTTGTATGAAGTTGGTGAAAAAGTTGATTGGAGCGCGCACTTACATGCATTTTACAAAGGCGATATAAATTATCAAGAAGCGATGCTGTTGTGCCGTCAATAAAGGTTTTCGCTATATTCTTGGTGGCCATGCGCGAGAGGATCTTCTTCTGGGCACGCAAGCCAATGTCACGCGACTTGAAAGCACTGTCAGCCATAACTGAAGAAAAATGAAAAAAAGAAACAATGAAAAATAATAACAAAAAAATTAAATTAAAAATACAAATCAAATTATAACATTACAATACAGTTATTTTTTTGCAATTTTTATAAATAAATTGAGATAACAAATACCATTAATACGCATCTTTCAAACGCACAACTCAACACACGCCTTTTAATAGATTTATATACATACATATGTATATGTAATTGCAGAACTATTTGGAAAATAAAAAAAAATTAAAATACTATTTTTAAAAATATTTATATGTAAGAAAGTGCATAATAACAACAAAACACATGCGTCCACAGCAATCAAATGAAGGGGTCTGCTGCGCACTACTTTAGCTTTGCATGAGAAAATAATTACTTCTAGTTTGTTTTTGTTTTTGCAACGTAGTCAGGCAAGTAAACTAGAATAACTATCCACTAACACAATAGGTCTAGAATTGATTTATGCAAACAAAAAACTATTATAATGTGAAAAAACTGAATACATTACAAAAGGCATAAAAGTGCAAAGGCACAAAACATAACTCACACACAAGTACATAAACGTACATAGCTAACGGTATTAAGTATTTAAATTGGAAAAATCAAAAGAACCAAAAGCTTTATTTCCATAACTCATATGCGATATATGGTGATTGGTTGGTTCATTGGTTGAGTGCTTGCTTGTTTACCTTCTAGATTCCAATAGTCGACGCTCCATAGCAGCAGACATTGACGCAAGCCTTCCGCTGCCATTTTGCTGTCAAATCCTGACATCATTGTCGTTTTGTTTAGTTTGTATGCAATTTTTTAAATGGGATAAGAAGAAAAATTGAAAATGCAAGAGATTTTCATTTTCAATCATTTGGAAATATATACAAACATATGTATGTACATTAAGGGTTGAGTGTAGACTTTTTACGTGTGCAGTTAGGAAAATTTGGAAAATTATAATAAATATTCATTGATGCAGTGTGTAGTGGAATGTTGGAATTTTTATATATTGTTAATTTATTTATTTAGAAATGAAAAGCAAAATGCGAAAATATAAATTAACTGTTTATTTATGACAACTTAAATTTTTTATTGAGGTACTTTGCTATATAAAGTTCTAAACAATTATAATTTCGTAATTTAATTATTTTGCTGTACTTTGAGTCTCTCAATGAATGAACAGAGTTCAAAGTTATTTATAAATAATTGATTTTTACCTTGACTATTAAAAAAAATATTTGTTTACTGTCTTAAAAATAGCTCTTCAATAATATACATAATGTAATATGTGTTTAAACTTTACAATATTAGACAGAATTCACTTTATTGATTTCAATTTACTCGTTACTTGGAATACTCCTTTGGATATCGAACTTGAAAGCATATATAGTTAGAAGCGTGACTTTTGTACTATATGCACTTCGTTGGTGTAAAATTTTTAGCGACCGCCGTGTTCTTTTCAAAAATAATTTTCGTACAAGTTTGAGGAAGACCTACATTGGCAGCTTTGCTATTTTTATGAGATTTTTGAGTGGCGTTTATGGACGTCTCCGATATTAGCGACTGCCACTTTGTTTTGCCAAAACCGGGTATTGTATAGTCTATTTCCCACCTGATCAAATATTACCCGGATTTAAGGAATTTGTTATTGCCTTATACATAGGTCTTGGCTGAAATGGGTTTAGTGCCTTTTTTTTTAAAAAAGGTCACAGGGAGCCAAATCTAAAAAATACGATGGCGGAGCAATTGCTCTCGCTTAGTATTACGGTAATAAATGACAATTCTATGCATTTTCTGTTCACGGACAAGTATTTACCGTGTGCAATGAATTTATAGTGAACTATAACACGGCAATCGAAGAAAACGTTGCGCATCATCGTGATTTTTGACCGACCTATTCGAACAATATGCTCGGATATTATAACTTTGGCTTATACCATAACCTACCAAATTTCATGGCGACAATTTCTCAAATGAAAAAGTGTTTCATACAAGGACTTAATTTTGATTTAGTGGCCCATCGACCGGCCCCAAAATGTGAAATTATCTGCTCGCCGAAGCGTTCTTTTAATAACTCCATTGATGTGATGTGATTTGTGGGAAGTGGCATCGTTTTGTTGAAAGCAAATGTCGCTAGGAAAACGAGTTTCAATGTCTGGTATATAATGGGCRCTATATCAGGGCGCAAAAATGGCCCCATTGTCGGTTAGGTTCTCAACGGCATCACTTTTGAAGATACATACATATATGGACCGATGGTTCCACCGGCCCACAACCACACCGTTGCTTTTCTGGATGAATTGGCCGCTCTTGAATCTCTTAAAATTGCTTTTCGCTTTGTTACACACTCATTGAACCAACAATGGGCTGAACATTGCTGAATGGATCTTCTTAGAACTAGAAGCTCATACTGCAAAGCAAAGTCGCGTGGGAAGATCGAGCGGACTCAGTTCTTGCACAAGCTTTATTTTATACACTTTTAATTTAAGATCTCGACGTAAAATACACCAAGTCGTTCGATACGTCAGTTTGAGTTGCTGTGAACGACGCCGAATTGCCTCTAGAGCTATATTTTCTTCACTGCGTGCTGGACGTGGTGTATTCGGTCGAAGATTATCCAATAATGAATGCTGGGTCTGAAGATGGGGGATGGTGTTACGAATAGTACGAACCGCCTATGTTGACCATAAGTTCTTTAAAAACTTATATTTGACAGACTAGCATGCGACTGGAATTTCTATTATTTCGGAAGTTAATTGCCCAAACTTCATACTAATGTTAAAAGAGGCTCCTTAAGAGAATGTAATGTTACATACATACATATGTACGTTACAAAACTGTGTTTTTAAAAAGCCTTAATTTATCTTAAAAGAAATTTAGGCCACTACAGAAAGAGACTACTGATTTTCGTAGTAATATTTCATTGGAATAAAGTCCTCATATCGAGAATGTGATGCGGTCTAACTGGACAACTGCAATAAGGACAATCTCCGGAACACCGAATAAACATCAAGTAAATAATACTCTTATATTTAAAGCTCGATCTAAAAGTATCAATGAGTCAAACGATATTTAATGAAAGTCGGCTTTAAGACTACGCTGTACAAAAAAAATTACAGGTAAAAAGTTGAAAGCTTGCGTGAAGTAACACTATCCCAAAATGTTAGTGGTGATAATTTGAGGTTTCGTTTCACTAGAACTATACTTTTATGTATATTTATGTATGTATGTCATCACTTTAGAACAACTCATATTCATATTATATGAAAGTTTCTAATGTCTACATGTCTGTGTATTGTTAAGTGTATTTTTAAATCTCAATAGCGTGCTAAGAATACATTAACGCATGTCTATATGTTCGTGTGTCTATTTGTGTGCAAGTATTTCTTGTTTACTGTTAGCGACGAGGACCTGCCTCAACTACTTCTGTGTGCTCACATGTATGTGTAGGTGATCGGTACGCTCTGAATTTGCCACATGCCCGTCTAAGTTCTATGCCTTACAATTATTCTATTTGTGCAGACTCGTGTACTTGCCACGTCGACAAATTACAAATTTAGTTGAAAGGCATAAGCACCTTTTACCTTGACATGGCAGTGTCTGGCGTATGAGGAAAATGTATTTAATGGTACTATAATTTAACTACAAACACGAATCATTGCGAGGCTCACGCAAAGGTTATATTATTGAGCAAATAAAATTTTGATGGGTCGGTGGTGTCATGGCAAACTGAATTATTTGGCTACAAACGCTTGGATGTGCACGTAAACCGCATTTGATACGAGCAGGACGGCACTAAGTGACACACTGCGGACGACAAAATAAACAAGCATGTGGTCATCTATAGCAAAGGGTTGGGGATTGTGTAGAAAAATCAATTGGATTCCGTCAGATTATTGAAAGGATTTTATATTATTGAGAGGCAGACGATCAATGACAGCAAAGTCAACATAACTGAAAATATCGATAAATAAGAGCTGGAGGTAAGATCCGGAAAACGGTCGTTGGGGAGTAATTATGCAAGTTACCATAGTTTTCACTAACTATCTCAAGTTAATGTCTCGATTGTGAGATCGGGTGATCGGGTGGAATCCTCGATTCACACAATTTTCGCATACTCTAATATTTATGAAAAAATTTTCAACACAATGCTTTATAGCGTAAGCTATCTAAATTGTGAAATTAATACGCAGACCTCTTGAAGTAGCGTCCTTAACCTTTCAGGCTTCCTGCTCTGTATGACCTCTTTTCAAACAAATTCGTTGCATTTTTTATACGCTGACCAGGGAATATTTTCTTCAAAAAATGTAATTAAGTCTCGTCTATTTTCGCGTGATTATTTTTTGCAACTTTCGATGTGAATTAACTCAGCAATAGTGCATCGATGAATTTAATTTAATTTTAAACGATGAAGCTATATCAAGGACCAGTGTTTACTGATGGTATGATCATTTCAATCGAGGTCTTTAAGACGAATTTCTGAAAGGTCGATCAAAATCTACGAGTATTGCTGTTCCGAAAACTATGTGCGCAAAATGATATTGCAGGATGGTCATGTGACCCATCGTGAGATTGAGACAATTAAGAGCATTGTTAGGACTAGCATACATTCAATATTGCATGAAAATTGGACTGTAAAAAATTTGTTCACGTTGGATCTTTCACAATTTGTCAGTCGCTCAAAAAAGCGTTCGTGCCGATAGGTCGAAATGTACCATAAACAAAATATGATAATGGTGTTTCGAAACAAGTTTATGACATTGTTGTAAGTGATGAATCGTGGATTAACGCGTATGAGTCCGAACGTAAACATCAGTCGACTGTATGGGTGTTTCAAGATGAGCCGCATGCCGCACTTCCAAGCAAATGGTTGTCTGTTATTTTAAAAATACTGGCCGAAGGCGGATTACTCTCACACATCGACTGGCACCGAATGACTTCTTTTTATTGTTGTTCATAAAAAATAAACTAAGAAGTTAACATTTTTCGACACCTGGAGATACCTCAATCAGAGTGGCAAAAGAGCTTCGACAATGGGTTTAAATACATCCAAAAGTCTATTAAACCCCCAGCATTAGATAAAAAAAAAAAACTAAATGTGTGAAAAAGCATTATTTTAGCCTTAACAATAAAAAAAAAATTTTTTGCCATAACCTGCAGTCGAAATTACCAAACTATTTTATAAATATACAATGTCTATTAATTTGATATTTCAAAATTACTCTGTGATAGAATAAAGTATACGCTCATAAGACCAAATACAAAAAGGCCAAAGGTTAATTGAATTTTCGTCCAACCAAAATTGAAATACAATAAACAAGCGAAATAATTGACCATTAGGAAAAATTGGCGCTTGCTTCGTTAAAGCACAATAATTTCCGCTAATGATTTATAACCGGAACGAAACTAAAAGCCATGAAAAAGAATAATTATTATGGCAAATGCAACAACTATTGGTTCGGTCACTAAAAGAGTAACATTTTTATCTGTGAGTTTCAGTATTCGACAAATTTTTATCTTATCAAATCTTGTTTTTTTTTGTTTTGGAACCATGAGTTAAGAGGATTGAGCACTTATGTAATACGAGGTATAGATGTGTAATGACAGCAATACAAACAAGTTTTCACTCAATGGAAATTAATAAATTATGGAGGGATTAGGTCTTTTACGGTTAGATTACAAATTATAGTATGTAAACAATAAACGATGTATACATATATAGTATAATAGTAAATTATAAGTTGGAGCCATTTTAGAGGGTATTCCTTAGTTGTTC